ATTCCTGTGAAACTATGAGCAGAGGAATGAATTGACTAAGTCAGAGTTGGGTACAAATACAACCCTAGCAAACTGTACCCCATATGTGCTACCCCACTATAGCCTACAAACATGCATCAGCTATAATAATCTGACACACCCCCATAGGCAAAGTGGGGGAGAACAAGGGGTCACAAGACCAGTCAAGCAAAGCAAAACAAGCTCAGGGTGGATCACAAAGTCACCACACAGTCCGAGCACAAGAGCAAGGCCAGAGGCCAGTTCACATGCAGGAGTACAGACATATATATAAAAAAAAACTAGACAAGCAAGAGCAGGTATATATATGTCAAAGTACAAGTAAAGTCAAGAAGAGAGCAAGTGAGGCAAGACAGGTACAAGACCCAGCTGGGTACAAAAGCGCTGATGGTCGCAAGGCGCAAGTGCCTTGGTGAACACATCAGCAGTGTTGGCCTCAGAGGCCACGTAAGCAAGTCGCAACTGACCACGCTGCTGCAGCTCACGAGCAAGGAAGTAGCGGAGAGCAATGTGCTTCGTTCTGTGCTCCAAGCGCTGCTCTCGACACAAGGCCAACATGGCCTTGTTGTCTACGTACAGCACTGGAGGAGAACGAGGCAGCTCTCCAAGGTCAGTCAGCAGGTAGGTGAGCCAGCGAAGCTCCTATGCAGCCATGGCCCCGGCGTAGATCTCAGCCTCACAACTGGAGCCGAGAACCGAAGACGAGCGAGTAGACCGCCACGAGACAGAGCCGGAACCAAGGCTGAAGGTGTAACCCTGTGACGACCGCTGCGTAGCCTGGTCGTCAGCCCAAGAAGCGTCTGCGTGCCCAGTAAGGACCACTGGACTCCGCCCTCCAAGCACTAGCCCCATGCCCGACGTACTGCACAGGTAGCGCAATACCCTCTTCGCTGCAGCCATGTGCTCTGGTCGGTGTCTCCCAGGAGCAACATAGCGTGCAAGGATGCTCAGAGGGTATGCAAGGTCAGGTCGTGTGCAGGTCATCAGGTACATGAGGCAGCCAACAAGCTCTGCATACGGACCACTCGACTCTACGGACTCATCCGAAGGCAGAGCTGAGAGTGAGTGGCGAGTAGGCAGAGGAGTGGCCTGAGGCGAGGAGTACGTGAAGCCGAAGCGCTGAAGGACCTGCTGCACCATGTGTGACTGAGTCAGGGTAATGGTGCGGCGTGCTCTGTCCCGAGTGATCTGCAAGCCAAGGTAGCTGCGCAGTTCACCCAGGTCTGTGCACGTGTGTCTCTTCAGCAGCTCGGACTTCACGTAGGCGAGTCCAGCAGTGTCCGCTGTGGCAAAGACCAAGTCGTCGACGTACACGAGGATGTAGAACGGCGGCAGGGAAGTGTCGGTGCGAAGAAACAGCGACGGGTCAGCAGTAGAAGGAGCAAACCCAAGAGCCGCAAGCGTAGTCCTCAGTGTGTCGTGCCACTCACGCGGTGCCTGGCGGAGACCGTAGACTGGCCGTCGGAGGCTCCACTGGGTGCCAGGAGGGAAAGTCCCAGTGAAGCCAGGCGGACGGCGCAGCCAGATCTCCTCGTGCAGGCTACCCTGCAGGAACGCAGTGCTGAAGTCGAGAGAGTGAAGCTCGTAGTCGCGCTGAGCGGCAATGTGCAGCAGCACCCGAAGAGTGGTCATCTTCGGGGTGGGAGAGAAGGTCTGAAAGTAGTCAACTCCCTGCCGCTGACTGAAGCCACGAGCCACGTAACGCGCCTTGAAGACAGGCGGCGAGCCCGGCGGCCGCTTCACCCTGAAGATCCACATGCCGCTGACGATGTTCGCCCCAGGAGGGGGAACCGCGTCAACGTAGGTGCCTGTGGACTTCCAGGAAGCCATCTCTGCATCCATAGCTGCCTGCCACTGAGAGGAGTAGGGACCCTCTACGGCCTCCGCGTAAGAACGCGGAGTCGGGATGTCTAGTGCATCCGGGTCTCCCTCAGGGGCTAGCAGTACAGACGCGAGACGAGGTGAAGCAGCGGCTAGACACTGGAACTCCTCCTGCCTGTCCTCTAGGACGTCCGTGCCAAGGGCACACTCACCCCCGACGGACGGAGGACAGGCGGACTCAGACTCAGCGACAAGACGAGCAGCGTAGTCCAGACGACAGCGCGCAGCAAAGTCGACAAGCTCAGTGACAAGGGCAGACGCAGCAGACGACTCGAAGGAAGGGTCAGTGACAGCAGTAGCAAGGAGACGCGTGACAGTAGGACTGGCAGCACGAAGAGAGTCCGACTCCGGGTCGGCAAGAGCAGGAAGAGAGGAAGCAGGAGGAGAAGGCAAAGGGGCACGCAGAGGAGCAGTGGACGGACGCAGTGACATCCGGTGCGTGCCAGGGACAGGAGGAGGACGCTGACGCGACCCGCGACCACTAGCGCGCTCAGTACGAACAGGCGACGCAGGACGAGACGCAGGCTCACGACGCTCAGTAAGGCCTCCAGTCGGACCAGTGTAGGGAGAAGGAGCAGGCAAAGGGGAGGCAGGCTGTAGCTGTGGCTGTGACCGGACAGGCTGCGGACCCTCTAAGGGAGGAGGAGGAGGTGTAAGACCAAGAACCTGCTGCAGGAGCGGAACGAAGTACGGTCGGGGCCGCGCGGCGACGCCAGAAACAGCAGGAACAGCACCAGCACCCCCGGCAGGAGCACCCACTCCAGCAGCACCTCCAGCAGAACCACCAGAAGCTCCCGAACCCCCAGCAGCAGCACCAGGAGCACCGTCAGTCGGACCACCAACCGCAGGCTCAGCGCCAACGTCCTCAGCAGGACCAGCTCCAGCAGAACCCTCAGACCCAGCAGCTCCAGCACCCACAGGACGAGCACCGCCAGGTCGCGTGGCAGCAGCGCCCTCCGCAGCCGAAGAACCACCAGCACCAGCGGCACGCCGCCAGCGCCGGGCAAACCACTCACGCAGCTCCTGTGGAGAGAGCGGCTCCCGGCGAGACGAAGCACCCCCAGGCACAGCACCTCCAGGCTCGGCACCTCCAGGCTCAGCACCCCCAGGCTCAGTACCCCCAGACACAGCACCCCCAGGCACAGCACCCCCAGGCTCAGTACCCCCAGGCACAGCACCCCCAGGCTCAGCACCCCCAGGCCCAGCACCCCCAGACTCCGCACCCCCAGGCTCAGCACCCCCAGGCTCAGCACCCCCAGGCTCAGCTCCCGCAGCAGCACCGGAGTCACCAGTGACCTCGACAGGCTCGACCGCGTCTACCTGAGACACACCTGAAGGGGCAGGACCCTGAGGGGGGAGGGGGACAACTGGTGGGGGACCTGGTACCAAGAAGAGCGGGGGTGGGGGGAGGGACGGAGTGCGGTAGGGGAAGAGGCGGTAGTAGGGTACCGACTCGTCGAACGTGACGTCCTGGGAGGACAGAACACGTCGAGAGGTGGGGTGGTAAAACTGCCACCCAGGGGCGTCGGGGGGGAACCCGAGGAAGACGCAGGGAGAAGCACGAGGGGACAGCTTGTCCGCAGACAGGTCGCGAACAAACGCCCGAGATCCCCAGACCCGGAACGCCGACGCATCGCCAACCGTCCCCGTCCACAACAGAGCTGGGGAGGTCTCCGGTCGAGAGACCCTGGGGTGGAGGTTGATCTGGTGCGCAGCGTACCTGACCGCAAACGGCCACAGAAAATGGGGAGCAGCCGCATGCATCATGGACGTACGAGCGACGTCCATGACCATGCCAATGCGGCGCTCAGCGATCCCATTCTGCTGTGGTGAGTCCGGAAGCGTGAAGGTCTGACGGATGCCTCGCACACGACAGTAGGCACTCAGGAGGGCCGAGGAGAACTCTCCGCCTCTGTCCGAGTGCAGACGCAAGACAGGGAAGTCAGAGCCAAAGCTCCTCCGAAGCTGAAGACGAGCTGCGCGGATCCAGTCGATCAACACCTGAGTGACCTCACCCTTGCTGCGCAAGGGGAAGACTGTGGTGTAACGCGAGTAGTCGTCAACCACTAGCAGGAAGTAGCGCTCCTGACCCTGTCCACGGACGCGGGCTGGGCCCCACACGTCCATGTGAAGCGTCTGCAACGGGGCCTCTGTCGGAGGAAACTGGGAGGAGTGAGGGGCAGCACGCTGGCGCCCCTCGACACAGGGGACACAGGCAGGGCCAGGGCCCGGAGGAAGGGGAGGGAGGGACCGGGGAAGACCAGACACAAGGACCCGCGAGGCCATGCCTCTGAGCCGAAGCAGAGAGGGGTGGCCAAGGCGGTGGTGCCAGAGGAGGGTCTCGTGAGACAGACGACGACACGAACAAGGGGCAGACTCAGGACCAGACCTGGACGCTGCAGCAAACACCTGACCAGACGAAGGGACCCTACCAGACTCAGCACCTGGAGGAGAAGCAGTGGTCAGTGTGTACAGGCTCGACCCTGGCCGACGTGTAAACGTAGCCAGGTGGCGACCTGTATCCGCCTCCGTGCAGTGGGTCACCCGCTGACGAGCAGGGGTGAACTGGTGGACACCCGCATCCTGGAGGTCAGCACCACTCACCAAGTTCGTCGAGAACGAGGGGAGGTAGAGACCAGTCAGGGTGCCAGAGGGGGCCGCCGGACACGGGAGGACAGTGGAGAAGCGAGACAGGACCGGCCCCCCAGAGGGGTCCGCCAGGGACACCGCAACAGGCCGACTCAGCGGCGTGAGAGTGGTGCGGTCCCTAAAGAAGGAGCGAGACGCTCCAGAGTCAAGGGTGAAGGTGTGAGAGGCCGAAGCCGACACAGTACCTGAGAGGGCGGACTCACCAGTACCTGAAAGCACAGACGCACTAGCACCTAGAGCAGCAGCCTCACTAGTACCTGACGCGGCAGTACCAATGCCCGGGTCGGGCGGGAAACACCGGTAACAGTCATCCTCATCACTACCAGTCACAGCATACATAGCAGAGAGAATAGCATCAAAATCAAGATCATAAATAGCTACACCAGCCCTAGACAGCTCTCCCCAGCGGGGGATCTCAGCGGCCTCCGGAAACTGCTGACGCCAGGCGTTGGTCAGGCGGCCAAAGCAGCGACGGGCTGTGTGGGCGCCTCCACACCTCTCCCCTGCACGGTCACCAGTGCGAAGAACGTAGGGGCAGGGACCAAGCGCACCACCGCGCTGACGCTGCAAGTACCACTCACGGAGCTGCTGAGGGCCGGGGACGGTGCGAGAGCGCTGCTGCTGCTGCGGCTGCTGCTGTGGCTGCTGCTGCTGCTGCTGCTGGCGCTGACCACCCCCAGAGCTGCTCCGCTGGGACGAGCCACTCCGACCCCCTCCTCCACCGCCACCCCCGCCTCCACCGCCACCCCCGTCGCCACCGCCACCTCCCCCACCAGGACCGTCGCTCCCACCGATCCCACCGCCTCCTCCGCTACCACCTCCGCCGCCACCTCCGCCTCCACCGCCGCCACTACTACCTCCACTCCCGCCACCACCCCCCCCGCCACCCCCACTCCCCCCTCCACCCCCACCGCCTCCTCCACCGCCCCCTCTGGCTCCACCCGCTCCCTTGCCCCCCTTGCCCTTGCCAGTGCGGCGTCTGCCACTGGGGGCAGACGCCGCGCCGACCGACTCAAAACCAACGAGGTCGGCCGCAGCGGCAGAGGCGACAGAGGGCAGCAGGGGGGAGGGACCACACCCCTCAAAGATGGGGGTGCGAGGGTCACCCCGAGAGGCCCCTACAGCGACAATACTCTTCTCAGCCGCTAGCAGGGACTCCTCAAGGAGGTCGACAGTGAGAGTGGTGGGACAGACAGAGAGAAACTGGTCCCTAACGACACGAAGGGACTCAGGGAGACGGGTGACGAGAAAGTAGAGAGTGATGTACATGGGAGGAGGGTTCGCAGCGCGGAACTCAGCAGGAAGGGCAGCGCGGTAGCGGGTGTCACTAGCGCGGAGGTGGGTAACGAGGTCAGCGACAGTGGGAAAGGAAGCGAGGTCAGGGAAGAGAAACGGTAGCATGAGGCGGCTAAGGGTAGCGGAGGAAGGGGAGGAGTAGCGCGCAACTACAGCGTCGTACAAGGCCTGAGCGGTCTTGCACTGACTAAAGTGGGCACGCTCAGAGGAAGGGAGGTGGCGACGCACAGCAAGACGTGCAGCAGCATCGCGGGTCGCCCACTTGGAGCGAACGGCAGAGTCAGCATCAGCAGGCGGGGCAGGGACAGCGCCAGAGACAAAGTCAAAGAGAGAGACCTCATCTACCGCATCACACAGTAAGTACAGCTGCAGATCCTCGATCCAGACGGCAAAGTCAATGGCCCTCCCCTCAGCGTCAAAAGTGAGAACATTGGGGGTGGCCATAGCAGCAGCTGAAAGTCTCACCGGGATGGGAGAGTCGGGTAGGTCAGCAGTAGGCGGCTCGGGCTGCTCGTGCAGCTCAGGCGGCTCGGGCTGTTCAGGTACCGGGCGGCTCGGCTACTGCGGGGCGGCTCGGCTACTGCGGGGCGGCTCGGCTGCTGCTGGGCAGCTCGGCTGCTGCTGGGCGGCTCGGCTGCTGCTGGGCGGCTCGGCTGCTGCTGGGCGGCTCGGCTGCTGCTGGGCGGCTCGGCTGCTGCTGGGCGGCTCGGCTGCTGTGCAGTGGCGGGGCCGGGACAAGGCCGGCGGTAGGGCCGGCGGTAGGGCCAAGTAGGAGCCGGCGGCGGGCCGAGTAGGAGGCCGGCGACGGGCCGAGTAGGAGGCCGGCGGCGGGCCGAGTAGGAGGCCGGCGGCGGGGCCGAGTAGGAGCCGGCGGCGGGGCCGTGTAGGAGGCCGGCGGCGGGCCGAGTAGGAGGCCGGCGGCGGGCCGAGTAGGAGGCCGGCGGCGGGCCGAGTAGGAGGCCGGCGGCGGGCCGAGTAGGAGCCGGGGCCGGGCCGTGTAGGAGGCCGGCGGCGGGCCGTGTAGGAGGCCGGCGGCGGAGCCGAGTAGGAGCCGGCGGCGGGGCCGTGTAGGAGGCCGGCGGCGGGCCGAGTAGGAGGCCGGCGGCGGGCCGAGTAGGAGGCCGGCGGCGGGCCGTGTAGGAGGCCGGTGGCGGGCCGAGTAGGAGGCCGGCGGCGGGCCGTGTAGGAGGCCGGCGGCGGGGCCGAGAAGGAGGCCGGCGCGGGGCCGCGTAAGGGGCCGAGTAGGAGCCGGCGGCCCAGGGCCGCGTAAGGGGCCGGCTCGGAGCCGCGTAAGAGGCCGGCGCGGGGCCGCGTAGGAGCCGGCGGCGCAGGGCCGCGTAAGGGGCCAGCGCGGGGCCGGGTAAGGGGCAGGCGGCGGGGCCGAAGGGGAGAGGGCGACCCGAAGGGTCGCTAAAACAAAAAAAAGGGCGCGCCTCGGGGCGCGCTTCGGTGGGCCCAAAAAAAAATTCGGTCCTGGAGGGACCTAGCTCTATACCATGTGAAACTATGAGCAGAGGAATGAATTGACTAAGTCAGAGTTGGGTACAAATACAACCCTAGCAAACTGTACCCCATATGTGCTACCCCACTATAGCCTACAAACATGCATCAGCTATAATAATCTGACAATTCCAGCTCTTTTTGCCTTCAAACGGGCCCGTCGCATGAAAAACCGTCCCCATATAAAGGCGTTTGTGAGCCCGGGAAGCTGCGAAATCTGTACCGGTATAAAATGTGAAACAATGTTACTCGGATCCTGGATTGCCCAGCATGATCGTGTTTGCCACAACCCTAGATAACTTGGGACGAGATTCCAGCTCTTTTTGCCTTCAAACGGGCCCGCCGCATGAAGAACCGTCCCCATATAAGGGCGTTTGTGAGCCCGGGAAGCTGCGAAATCCGTACCGGTATAAAATGTGAAGCAATGTTACTCGGATCCTGGACCGCCCAGCACGATCGTGTTTGCCACAGTCCTAGATAACTTGGGACGAGATTCCAGCTCTTTTTGCCTTCAAACGGGCCCGCCGCATGAAGAACCGTCCCCATATAAGGGCGTTTGTGAGCCCGGGAAGCTGCGAAATCCGTACCGGTATAAAATGTGAAGCAATGTTACTCGGATCCTGGACCGCCCAGCACGATCGTGTTTGCCACAGTCCTAGATAACTTGGGACGAGATTCCAGCTCTTTTTGCCTTCAAACGGGCCCGCCGCATGAAGAACCGTCCCCATATAAGGGCGTTTGTGAGCCCGGGAAGCTGCGAAATCCGTACCGGTATAAAATGTGAAGCAATGTTACTCGGATCCTGGACCGCCCAGCACGATCGTGTTTGCCACAGTCCTAGATAACTTGGGACGAGATTCCAGCTCTTTTTGCCTTCAAACGGGCCCGCCGCATGAAGAACCGTCCCCATATAAGGGCGTTTGTGAGCCCGGGAAGCTGCGAAATCCGTACCGGTATAAAATGTGAAGCAATGTTACTCGGATCCTGGACCGCCCAGCACGATCGTGTTTGCCACAGTCCTAGATAACTTGGGACGAGATTCCAGCTCTTTTTGCCTTCAAACGGGCCCGCCGCATGAAGAACCGTCCCCATATAAGGGCGTTTGTGAGCCCGGGAAGCTGCGAAATCCGTACCGGTATAAAATGTGAAGCAATGTTACTCGGATCCTGGACCGCCCAGCACGATCGTGTTTCGCCACAGTCCTAGATAACTTGGGACGAGATTCCAGCTCTTTTTGCCTTCAAACGGGCCCGCCGCATGAAGAACCGTCCCCATATAAGGGCGTTTGTGAGCCCGGGAAGCTGCGAAATCCGTACCGGTATAAAATGTGAAGCAATGTTACTCGGATCCTGGACCGCCCAGCACGATCGTGTTTGCCACAGTCCTAGATAACTTGGGACGAGATTCCAGCTCTTTTTGCCTTCAAACGGGCCCGCCGCATGAAGAACCGTCCCCATATAAGGGCGTTTGTGAGCCCGGGAAGCTGCGAAATCCGTACCGGTATAAAATGTGAAGCAATGTTACTCGGATCCTGGACCGCCCAGCACGATCGTGTTTGCCACAGTCCTAGATAACTTGGGACGAGATTCCAGCTCTTTTTGCCTTCAAACGGGCCCGCCGCATGAAGAACCGTCCCCATATAAGGGCGTTTGTGAGCCCGGGAAGCTGCGAAATCCGTACCGGTATAAAATGTGAAGCAATGTTACTCGGATCCTGGACCGCCCAGCACGATCGTGTTTGCCACAGTCCTAGATAACTTGGGACGAGATTCCAGCTCTTTTTGCCTTCAAACGGGCCCGCCGCATGAAGAACCGTCCCCATATAAGGGCGTTTGTGAGCCCGGGAAGCTGCGAAATCCGTACCGGTATAAAATGTGAAGCAATGTTACTCGGATCCTGGACCGCCCAGCACGATCGTGTTTGCCACAGTCCTAGATAACTTGGGACGAGATTCCAGCTCTTTTTGCCTTCAAACGGGCCCGCCGCATGAAGAACCGTCCCCATATAAGGGCGTTTGTGAGCCCGGGAAGCTGCGAAATCCGTACCGGTATAAAATGTGAAGCAATGTTACTCGGATCCTGGACCGCCCAGCACGATCGTGTTTGCCACAGTCCTAGATAACTTGGGACGAGATTCCAGCTCTTTTTGCCTTCAAACGGGCCCGCCGCATGAAGAACCGTCCCCATATAAGGGCGTTTGTGAGCCCGGGAAGCTGCGAAATCCGTACCGGTATAAAATGTGAAGCAATGTTACTCGGATCCTGGACCGCCCAGCACGATCGTGTTTGCCACAGTCCTAGATAACTTGGGACGAGATTCCAGCTCTTTTTGCCTTCAAACGGGCCCGCCGCATGAAGAACCGTCCCCATATAAGGGCGTTTGTGAGCCCGGGAAGCTGCGAAATCCGTACCGGTATAAAATGTGAAGCAATGTTACTCGGATCCTGGACCGCCCAGCACGATCGTGTTTGCCACAGTCCTAGATAACTTGGGACGAGATTCCAGCTCTTTTTGCCTTCAAACGGGCCCGCCGCATGAAGAACCGTCCCCATATAAGGGCGTTTGTGAGCCCGGGAAGCTGCGAAATCCGTACCGGTATAAAATGTGAAGCAATGTTACTCGGATCCTGGACCGCCCAGCACGATCGTGTTTGCCACAGTCCTAGATAACTTGGGACGAGATTCCAGCTCTTTTTGCCTTCAAACGGGCCCGCCGCATGAAGAACCGTCCCCATATAAGGGCGTTTGTGAGCCCGGGAAGCTGCGAAATCCGTACCGGTATAAAATGTGAAGCAATGTTACTCGGATCCTGGACCGCCCAGCACGATCGTGTTTGCCACAGTCCTAGATAACTTGGGACGAGATTCCAGCTCTTTTTGCCTTCAAACGGGCCCGCCGCATGAAGAACCGTCCCCATATAAGGGCGTTTGTGAGCCCGGGAAGCTGCGAAATCCGTACCGGTATAAAATGTGAAGCAATGTTACTCGGATCCTGGACCGCCCAGCACGATCGTGTTTCGCCACAGTCCTAGATAACTTGGGACGAGATTCCAGCTCTTTTTGCCTTCAAACGGGCCCGCCGCATGAAGAACCGTCCCCATATAAGGGCGTTTGTGAGCCCGGGAAGCTGCGAAATCCGTACCGGTATAAAATGTGAAGCAATGTTACTCGGATCCTGGACCGCCCAGCACGATCGTGTTTGCCACAGTCCTAGATAACTTGGGACGAGATTCCAGCTCTTTTTGCCTTCAAACGGGCCCGCCGCATGAAGAACCGTCCCCATATAAGGGCGTTTGTGAGCCCGGGAAGCTGCGAAATCCGTACCGGTATAAAATGTGAAGCAATGTTACTCGGATCCTGGACCGCCCAGCACGATCGTGTTTGCCACAGTCCTAGATAACTTGGGACGAGATTCCAGCTCTTTTTGCCTTCAAACGGGCCCGCCGCATGAAGAACCGTCCCCATATAAGGGCGTTTGTGAGCCCGGGAAGCTGCGAAATCCGTACCGGTATAAAATGTGAAGCAATGTTACTCGGATCCTGGACCGCCCAGCACGATCGTGTTTGCCACAGTCCTAGATAACTTGGGACGAGATTCCAGCTCTTTTTGCCTTCAAACGGGCCCGCCGCATGAAGAACCGTCCCCATATAAGGGCGTTTGTGAGCCCGGGAAGCTGCGAAATCCGTACCGGTATAAAATGTGAAGCAATGTTACTCGGATCCTGGACCGCCCAGCACGATCGTGTTTGCCACAGTCCTAGATAACTTGGGACGAGATTCCAGCTCTTTTTGCCTTCAAACGGGCCCGCCGCATGAAGAACCGTCCCCATATAAGGGCGTTTGTGAGCCCGGGAAGCTGCGAAATCCGTACCGGTATAAAATGTGAAGCAATGTTACTCGGATCCTGGACCGCCCAGCACGATCGTGTTTGCCACAGTCCTAGATACCTT